TGCGTAATGAGGTCAGTGACTGTGGCAAAAGCGGCGAGGTCAGGGAACAGGTACGGTAGCATGAGGCGGCTAAGCGCAGCAGTGGCAGGGGAAGAGTAGCGTGCAACGACAGCGTCGTACAGAGTCTTAGCACTCTTGTACTGACTAAAGTGCGCTCGCTCAGTAGACGGTAGGTGACTACGCACTGTAAGGCGGGCAGCAGCATCGCGCGTGAGCCACTGCGAGCAAACAGTACTGTCAGCATCAGCAGCAGGGGAAGTAGAGGCGCCAGACGTGAGATCGAACAGTGAGAGACCATCCTTGCTATCGCACTGTAGGAAAAGCTGCAGATCATCTAGCCAGACCTCGAAGTCAACCGCTCGACCCTCAGCATCAAAGGTAAGAACACTGGGACTAGCCATGACAGGAGCAGCAGCAGGTTAGCAGCAACAGCAGTGCAGCTCGGCTGACCGACGCGGCTAGGCAGGGCAGCGCGGCTCGGCAGGGCGGCTCGGCAGGGCGGCGCGGCTCGGCGGCGCGGCTCGGCAGGGCGGCTCGGCAGCGCGGCTCGGCGCGGCTATGCTCTTACCAGGGGCGAGGCCGGGGCAGGGCCGGGGGAGGGTCGGGGCAGGGCTGCAACAGGTCCGGGGCAGGGCCGGGGCCGGGCCGCAAAAGATCTGGGGCCGGGCCGGGGCAGGGCTGCGACAGTGCCGGAGCAGGGCCGGGGCAGAGTCGGGGCAGGGCCGGGGCAGAGCCGGGGCAGGGCCGGGACAGGGCCGGGGCGAGGCCGCGACAGGTCCGGGACAGAGCCGCGACAGGGTCGGGGCAGGGTCGGGGCTGGGCCGGGGCAGGTCCGGGACAGGGCCGCGATGGGGCCGGGCGGGGCCGGGGCAGAGCCGGGGCAGGGCCGGGGCCGGGGCAGGTCCGAGACGGGGCCGCGACGGGGCCGGGGAAGGGCCGGGGCCGGGCCGCGACAAGCGACGGGGCTCCGGGGGGCAGGGCGGGGCCGCGATGGGGTCGCAATGGGCGACGGGGCAGGGCCGGGGCAGTGCCTCGATGGGGGCCGCGACTGGGCGGCTTCGGGCAACGGGGCATGGCCGGGGCAGGGTCGCAACAGGGCCTCGAAGGGGGCCGCTAACAGGCCGCAAAGGGCACTAGGGGGCCGCAAAGGGGGCCGAGTAGGGCAGAAAGGCCACTAGGGGGCCGCAAAGGGGCCGCGTAGGGCAGAGCGCCACTAGGGGGCCACTAGGGGGCCGCAAACAGGAATGAATGATTGACTAGGAAATGAGTTGGGTACAAATATGAAACCCTAAGAAACTGTACCCCATAGTGTCTACCCCACTACAGCCTAAACAGGCTATGTGATTAATGTTCGACACTACTATCACTCGTCTCCTCGCTTCTGTCGTCACTGACCCTGACTTTGAGTCTACTGCAGCGTTTGCCCTAGTCACTGAGCTCATCGACTTTGCAGCTAGGAATCGTCTTGACTACGTCACGAGTCTTGTTTCTGAGTCTGAGGAGTAATCTTCTCAGTGGCAGACAGCCATGGACGTAGAGATGGCTTCCTGGAAGTCCACAGGCACCTACGTTGACGAGGTTCCTCCTCTTGGGGCGAACATAGTCGATGGCATGTGGATTTTCAGAGTGAAGCGGCCGCCGGGTTCTCCGCCTGCCTTGAAGATGTGGTACGTTGCTCGAGGCTTCAGTCAGCGACAGGGGGTCGACTTCTTCCATACCTTCTCCCCCACCCCGAAGATGACCACTCTTCGGGTGCTGCTGCACATTGCAGCACAGCGTGACTACGAGCTGCACTCCCTCAACTTCTCCACAGCTTTCTTGCAGGGCAGCCTTCACGAGGAGATCTGGCTACTCCGCCCACCTGGCTTCACTGGGTCATTTCCTGCGGGTGCCCAGTGGAGCCTCCGGCGGCTAGTCTACGGTCTCCGCCAGGCGTCCCGAGAGTGGCATGACACATTGAGGACTACACTTGTGGCTCTTGGGTTTGCTCCTTCCTCTGCTGACCCGTCGCTGTTTTTACGCACCGACACTACCCTGTCGCCATTCTACGTTCTCATGTACGTCGACGACTTGGTTTTTGCTACTGCTGATACTGAGGCGCTGGCCCTAGTGAAGGCGGAGCTGCAGGAGAGAGACACCTGCACTGACCTGGGTGAGCTGCGTAGCTATCTTGGCTTGCAGATCACCCAGGACAGAGCACGGCGCACCATCACCCTGACTCAATCACACATGGTACACCAGGTCCTTCGGCGCTTCGACTTCCAGTACTCCTCACCACTGCCCACTCCTCTGTCTACCGGCCACTCGCTCTCAGCTCCACCTTCGGACGAGTCTGTAAAGCCGAGTGGTCTGTACCCAGAGCTTGTGGGTTGCCTCATGTACCTGATGACGTGCACACGACCTGACCTCGCGTACCCTCTCAGCCTCCTGGCTCGCTACGTGGCTCCCAGTAGACACCGAAAGGTGCACTTTGATGCTGCGAAGAGGGTATTGCGTTACTTGTGCAGTACATCGGGCATGGGGCTCGTGCTTGGAGTACAGGGTTCAGTGGTACTCACTGGACACTCCGACGCTTCTTGGGCCGACGACCAGGTGACTCAGCGTTCGTCATGGGGTTACACCTTCAGTCTTGGTTCTGGTTCTGTCTCGTGGAGGTTGACTCGTTCTTCTTCTGTGCTTGGTTCCAGCTGTGAGGCCGAGATCTACGCTGTGGCCACGGCTGCACAGGAGCTACGTTGGCTGGCCTACTTGCTGACCGACTTGGGGGAGCGGCCTTGTTCTCCTCCACTTCTGTACGTCGAAAACAAGGCCATGCTTTCCTTGTGTCGGGAGCAGAGTCTGGAGCACAGAACGAAGCACATTGCTCTTCGCTACTTTCTTGCTCGAGAGCTGCAGCGGCGTGGTCAGCTTCGTCTTTCTTACGTGGCCTCTCAGGCCAACACTGCTGATGTCTTCACCAAGGCCTTCGGGTCTGGTGATCAATATTCTGCCTTGCTATTTTAACTCTGCATGTGAACTGGCCTTGTGGCCACTTGCTTGTGCTCGGATTGTGTGGTGTCCTTGAGATCCACCCTGAGCTTTGCTTTGCCCTGCTCTGTTGTCTTGCTGGACTGGTCTTGTGACCGTCTTGTTGTCCCCCACTTAGCCTATGTGGGTGTGTCAAAGTACAATCTTACTTGTAGGTTATATAGTAGGGCACTGCTTATGGGGTACAACACTTCTAGGGTTAGTACTTGTACCCCAACTCTTGCTAATCCAATCATTCCTGCACAATTATTTTGACAATGATGATGGCATTCGTTTCGAGCCTAGCCGACACTCATGGGATGGAGAGTCCGACGGCGGTCAGGCCACGTCACTACTAGGACATCTGCGTCAGTTTTGGGACTTGATAGCACTTTCTTCAGAAAAATGATATTTTTGAGGACTTCTACATTTTTACAAACAACATTGTGCATAAAAATTAAGTGGCCAACGGGACTGTTAAAAGTAGGTTTGAACTGATGTGATTCGTAGTGTTACACCATCCCCCTACAAAAGCTGCCCACAAGAACATGACTACGGTAGCTACATTGGCCAGCACATCGAACATCCCGTCGCTCCAGATCACTTAGGTCAGAGAGATATCTGGCCACAATGCTGGAAGTGCTGTCGAGATGTCGGAATGGAAGGGAAAATAAAGAGGGTGAGAATGTGTTCCGAGGTGCAGAAATGGCAGAGGACACTAGTGAGAAGTATCATTAGACTGATGTGAACCTGAGGTGCATCCTTGGTGGTGATACTGCTGGTGCGACCCCTGCATTGTCTCTGCTGATCTTAGGTGCTTATGCTACTGCCCGCCTTACGACGAACATATTTGGCTTGCTACATGCTAGATCAGTGATGCTGAAGTGGTTCTTACTTGAGTTATGCTCATACTACGTTCATCTTCCAGCGGCATATACAACATTGCTCTTTGGATGGTAAGAGCTGGTACCATGGCCAGTTGAACTGCGGCAATGAAAATGTAATACTTCTTTCGAGAGATGCGAGTGAATGAATGGATGGCTCGTGAAAAGCTGGTGGTTTGGCATTCTGGCGAGGAGCATGATAAGCTGCCTCCACTGCAGAAATGCTGCCTCTGTTACTTGCCAAGTAGGAAAAGAACCAGTAGTGTGCCGAAGGAGTGGTTGTAGTGATGCCGCTCCTTGTTGAGCAGTTGCTGGTGCTGTTGCCGAATAAGCGGAGAGATTCAGGGGACTGCAACGTGGCAGCTGCAGCAAGAGCACTGGCCTTACCATTGGCAATGGCTGAAAGGAGAAATGGCACGAGCTTTGGTAGTGGCCCTGTTCTGTGATTGAAATTGGAATTTCCAAGGAAATCAGGGGCCCCAGAGGGAGTATGCCCTTGTGAAACCATGGGAGATGGAATAAGAGGAGGAATAAGGGCAGGATAGGGCTCGCCGCCAAGAATGGCAGCTCCTGCTGCCCCACCAACTACATCTTGCTGCCAGTTCTCTTGTTGCTGGTTTCCCCGCTCTACTCTCAAGCGATGGAGTGGTGCTCGCTGCATCGACACCTGTGCCTGGTGCTTCCTGGGAAGACAAGAAGGCAGCGGCAGCTGCTTCAGCTGACGGGCGACTGGTTGCCTTGACTGCCTCGACTGCATTGACTGCTGCTGCGATTGCTCCTGCGTCTGCGAACCCAAAAGCTGCTGCTGGAACTGTGTTGCGTTACTTGGCTTGAGCCTCCCCACGCTCCCTTCAATGCTCACCACTGCAGAGCTGCTGATTTCCTTTGGACGAGCTGCTGAAGGCACGACAGCAGCTGAATGTGGATGACACGTATCATGTGCGGCTGCTGCCTGCTGCTGCTGCTTGGGCTGACAGTAGCAATAGCCCTGACATGGGTTGGGGGGAATGGAGGCAGGAAGAGGAGCCAAGAGAGCGGAGCCAAGAGGAGGAGAAGAGAATGGGAATGGCACAGAAGCTGACGCAGGAGCATGGGAACGAAGGGATGGAACTAGCGGAGAGGATCGTGGTGAAGGTGGGGTTGCTGGGGCAAAAGCGGATGAGATGATGTTTTGGCCAGACGGCTGCAGTGACGGTGAGAGGGGCGAGCCAGGGAAGGAGCTGTGGCTGCAGCAGACATATTAGCAGCAGATGTGCCAACAGCTGGTGTTCCCTCAGCGAAATATTCTCTGGCAGCAGAACCAGAGACTGGAATCAGCGAAGACTTGGGAAGGTCAGCAGGTATGGACGAGGGTGAACCTGCACTTGTGGCGTTGCGAGGTGGGTGAGTACGAGAGAATGATGGGAGCGTGGAGGATGATGGATGTGTGACGCTGAAGCAATGATGAGCCACGTGATGCCTGACAGGAGGATTTTTTTTTTTTTTTTTTTTTTTTTTTGGGCTTTAAGGACTGACAGGAGGAGATGCAGGCAGATTCGTCTCCGCAGGTATGAGCATGGGAGAAGCTGCATTTTTAGCATGTGTGACGTTGATGCGATGACGAGCCACGTGATGCCTGACCGGAGGAGGTGGAGGCAGATGCGTCTCTTCAGGCACGATCACCCAAGGATATGGATCCGCTGTTGCTCCTACCCAGTCAGCACACGCAGTTGCACCCTCTGCTGCTGCTGCTGCTGCTGCTGCTGCTGCTGCTGCTGCTGCTGCTGCTGCTGCTGCTGCTGCTGCTGCTGGGTCTAATGATGTGGCAACATGTGAAAGTAATGCGATTCCCGTGCCAAGACAATGGTTCCTTTTGGAACTCTCACCACCATTTCCGGTACCTCGCCTGAACTTTCCCGAGCAGTCCTTGTCGTTGCATCCCGGTGCACCTAGTGCTGAGTCATGTGAGTCAGACAGAATGCTCTCTTGCTGCTGCTTCTAGAAGGAATAAAGCTGCAAATTGACTCACAGTGGGTTCAATTATCAATAAAGGCACTTACAGAGATTAAGACGGAGGGACTCCTGGAACAGCTGTGGCTCGGCATTAATTGCTGTCACGGATGTGGTAGCGTTGCAATTGTTGATTTTATCCACCCACGGCCGAGTCTCAACAGGTTATGAAGGGACAGTCTTCATTAGGGCCGCCGAAGCACCCTTTGCTGCCTGTCCGGATCCTCTTGCAGGATCGACAGCTGATTTCTGCGAGGAGACGGTATGGTGTCCTGCCGGGATCGTCGTTGTAACACCCTTTGCTGCTTGTCCGGATCCTTTCGCAGCATCTACTACAGGCGAATTCCGCATGGAGAAGGTACCGTGACCTGCAGGTGCAATGAATGATGGCTTTCGGGTCAGTCCAAGAATACCCGTTGTCGCCTGTCCCAGCCTCTGCACAGAGTCTACGTTCAATATCTGCATGGAGATGGTACCGCCTCCTGCAGACATTTTGGCATGAATGGCTAACATCAGAAGGTTAGGAAGTTCTGCCATAATGCTCTTGCATATGAGCATGATTTCTTCATGGATAGCGACTTTAAGAACCCGGTTCAGCGTGCCAGCGCATCGCTTCTCAATGTCACGCGTTCTGGCCGCGTATCTGCTGGTCCATCCAAAGTTCAGGCGAGCTCTTGTTCCGAGAGTGGCTAGAGAAGCGATGTCATGAACGAATGCTGCTTCTTCGGGCGTCGCGAATGTTCCAAGCCACATGTTCAAGCAACGAAGCTCTGATTGCCATTTTCCCCGCCGACATCGCACACCTAAGAACCGTAGATGATCCGGTATCCATGCGGATGGCCGTAGATTCTTTGCTTGATACTTGGCGAAACCAACAACAGTTGTTGAGAAAGGAGCTTCCAACGCGTCTGCTGCATCTCTCCTGGGTCCAACTGCTTCTTCTCCACGTGACCTCTTCTCAGTCCGAGGAGTAGTGGCCGTAGAAACGACAGTATTTGACATATTATGAATAGGTATTGTTGGGTCTAACCGCGTCGCTTCAACTGTAGATATGTCAAGCTTTTCCGACAGATGATTTGGGCTGTCCATACTCACATTCGCTCCTGCAAACCAAAAGTATCGTTACAATGGTAGTCGACGATAGGTTAGCCGCGTAGCGTCCGAAATTACCTGCATTCCTCATGAACAGCTCCGTCGACAGCACCTGTCTAGATCGCTGTAATAAACAATCTCCTCTGTGATCCTGCTCTGCGAAGTCATAAATCCTCGTAGCGCTGACTTCCTACCGTATCTGGACATTCCTGCAGAAATTGGAATTTCACATTTGGGCGAAATGGTAAATGTGTTCAATGGCACACGGAATTGGTTTCAGGGAGCAGGTGATCGGGGAAATGAAGGGGGGAGTCAGGGATGTCATGGCAGGCAGAGCCTCGCAACCAGTCGTGTGGCCCTGGAGGGTCTGACAGCAGTATCAACATGATAGTTCGTTTTTCAGGGATAGGCATTCTTTTGTGGGCATATACACTTTAAAGCATACCTCTTTACGAAGTGAAGTGGGCAATTGTACTGCTGGGAGTACAGTAGTTTTTCAGAGCAAAACAAGGTCAGATTTTGATGCAAATACAGTGTTAACCCCGTCTCCCACTACTACGGTAAGAACATTACTAGGTACATTGGCCAGCACAGCGGACATTCCTTTGCTTCCTAGCACTTAAGTCAGAAAGATATGTGAATACAGATCTGCGGGTGCTGCCGAAACAGGTCATGTCTGACTAGTGAGAAGTGTGATTAAACTGATGTGAACCTGAGGTGCCTCCTGATGATACTGCTTGGTGGGATCACTGCATTGTCTGTGTTGCCCTTAGGTGCTTGTGCTGACAGGAGAAGTGGCATGAGCTTTGGTAGCGCTCTTGGTAAGTCAAAAGTGCCACCAAGCAAAGCAGGGGGTTCAGAGGGTGCATGAGCCCGTGGGAGCACACGTGATGGAAGCAGAGGAGGAGCAGTGGGATGGGGTTCACCACCGAGAATGGCAGCTCCTACTGTCCTGCCAACCACATCTTGCTGCCACTTCTCTTTTTGCTAGTTTCCCTGCTGCAGTTGCAAGCGATGGGGTGGTGTTCGCTGCATTGACCCCTTTGCTACGTGCTTCTTGGTAAGAGAAGAAGGCAGTGTCAGCTGCAGCAGCTGACGGGCCGTTGGTTGCCTTGACTGTGTTGACTGCTGCTGTGGGTGCTCCTGGGTCTGGGAGCCCAAACGCTGTTGCTGAAATTGTGTTGTTGTGCCACTTGGCTTAAGCTTCCAGACGCTCCCTTCAATGGTCACCACTGGAGAGCAGTTGTTTTACTCTGGACGAGCTGCTGAAAATGCGGCAGCAGCTGAAGGTGCCCCATCTGCAGTGCATGGAAAAATAGCGTCAGCAGCATTCATTCTGGCTCCAGCAGAGAAACAGGTTGGCGATGACGTGAGCAGAGATGGCAGCAGCACTGGGGGAAGGCTCTTACGCTGTGTAGCCACTTCAGGGGATAGCAATGTGGAACCAGGAGTTCCAGCAGGTGCCATGGCAGGTAGGGCTGGAGGAGTCGTTGGTGTGTGGCTGCCACTGGCCCAGGCAGCATTGCTGGTCAGAACACAGCTGTTGAGACTGGTGCCATTCTGGTTCTCATTCACGCAGGTGACAGGTGCTTCGCCCTGCAGTGGATAACACGTATCATGTGCAGCTGCTGCCTGCTGCTGCTGCTGCTTCTTGGGCTGACAGTGGCAACGGCACTGACAAGGGTACAGGGGAGTGGAGGCAGAAAGAGGTGCCAAGGGAGTGAAGCCAAGAGGAGAAGTTGATAGTGAGAGTGGTACGGAAGCTGAAGCAGGAGCATGTGTACGAAGGGATTGAACCAGCGGGGAGGATCGTGGTGAAGGTGGGGATGCAGGAGCACAAGCGGATGAGATGATGTTTGGGCTAGACGGCTGTAGTGACGGTGAGAGGGGCGGAGCCAGGGAAGGAGCTGTGGCTTGAGCAGACATACTGCCAGCAGTCGTGCCTCCAGACGAAGTGTAATCAGCATATAATTCCCCAGAAGCAAAACCAGAGACTGGAATCAGCGAAGACCTTTGAAGTTCTGCTGGTATGGGCGTGGCCGAAGCTGCATTTATGATATTGCAAGACGGTTGAGACAGAGGGAATGATGGGAGCGTGGAGGATGATGCATGTGTGACGCTGAAGCGATGACGAGCCACGTGATGCCTGACAAGAGATGCAGGCAGACGCGTCTCTTCAGGTACGGTTGTGCATGGATATGGCTCCACTGTTGCTCCTGCCCTGTCAGCAAGCGCGTTTGCACTCTCTGCTGCTGCTTCTGCTGATGCTGTGGCTGGGGCTGATGATGTTGCAAGGTGCAACAGTAATGCGATTCCCGTGCCAAGACAATTGTTTCCCTTCTTGGACTATGTCCGGGAGGACCTTGGCTGAACTTTCCCGAGAGGTCGTTGTTGTTACATGCCGGTGAACCTAGCGCTGCGTCACGTGAGTCATACGCAATGCTCTCTGCTGTCACTATTTGTAAAAATGAGATTTACAATTTGACATAAGCACTCACAGAGGTTGAGACGATGGGGCTCCTGGAACAGCTGTGGCTCGGCATTAATTGCTGTCACGGATGTGGTAGCATTGCAGTTGCTGAAATTATCCACCCATGGCCGAGTCTGAACAGGTTCTGAAGGGACAGTCTTCATTAGGGCCGTCGAAGCACCCTTTGCTGCTTGTGTGGGTCCTCTTGCAGGAGAGACAGCAGCTTTCTGCAGGGAGATGGTACCGTGTCCTGCAGGTGTAGTAGCGTATCTGCGGGTCCACTCAAAGGTTAGCCGGGCTCCAGCGCCAAGAATGGCCAGAGAAGCGATGTCATGAACGAACGCTGCTTCTTCGGGCGCCGGGAAGGTTCCAAGCCACATGCGAAAATAATTCCCGCGAAATTCTGTTGCCCATCCTCCGATTCGACGTCGCACACAGAGGAACCGCAGATGATCGGTTACCCCTGCGGATGGCCGTTTTTTTTTCCTTGCCTGATTCTTGGCAGAACCAACGGAAATCGTTAAAAAAGGAGCTTCTAACGCGTCTGCATTTCTTTTAACACCGTCCTCCACTGCAGCTTCTTCGCAACCGACTGCTTTTTTCCCACTTGTCCTCTTCTCAGTCCGAGGAGTAGTGGCCGTAGAAACAACATTATCTGACACATTTTGATTAGGTATTGTTGAGTCTAACCGCGTCGTTTCAACCATTAATATGTCTAGCTTTTCCGACAACAGATGATTCGGGCTGTCCATGTTCACTTCCATTACTGCACACCAGAAGTATCGTTACAATGGTAATCGACGATAACTTAGCAGCGCAGAGTGAAAATTACTAGCCCGCATTTCTTGCGAACAGCTCCGTCGACAGCACTCGTCTAGCTCGCTGTCATAAATAACCTCCTTTGTGATCTGCTCTGCCAAGTCATGAATCCTCCCAACACTGAGTTCCTAGCTGGCATGGGAAATTAGTTCCATGATCGGGGAGCAGGTGATCAGGGAAAGGAAGGGGGGTGGTGGTCAGGGATGGACTGACAGAAGGCGGAGCGGAGAGCCAATCATGCTTTGGAGAGCCTGACAGAAGTCTGTCCGCGTTCCTGTTGGGACATGACACTTCATTTTGTCAAGATAGGCATTCTTTCGTGGGCTTCTACACTTGGAAGAATAAATTTCCTTTTATAAAGTGATGTGGACAATGGGACTGCTACTGGGAGTACTTTTACAGAGCAAAATATGGTCAGATTGTGATTCAGCAAATAGCATTGGTATCGTCCTAATACTCAATCTACCTACAAAGAAAATGACTAGGTACATTGGCCAGCAC